GGGGGGGGGGGTTACAGGATTGGTGGACTGGCTTAACACTTTAAAAAAGGAGACACCTCTAGGTCAGTTTTAAAAAACTACTTTCAATTATCAAACCTTAAGGACTCTTCTAGTGCTTTGTGCAACTCTACTTAGTTAATTGGTGTTTCAGGGAATTTTGGTTTCAAAAGTTATGGGATAACAAAAATGAAGGTGGCTAGGTTAATTGACTTTTAGATGGGGTTTTTCTCCTTGGTAGAGGTTCTAACAAAAGAATCTAGATTCCTATTCCAACTAGTTCCTTGTGCTTCATTCCCCAAGGCTCTTTGCTCTCCTTCATTCCCCTTCAAATGGTTCAATAACCCAATTTAATGCAATTTGTGTCAATCTAACTCCACCTAAAATCACAGTTTTCTGCTTGCTACTTGGAATTATTTCTCTCAAAATTTAATACTTGTGACATACCTCAAAAGAAAGGGCCACTAGGCCATTGTCCTTTCAGATGTGCTTGAACTATGGTGAATGCAATTAACATTTGCTAATCCCCTCTTCTTTTGTCTCTAAGATTTAGGAGCACTTCTCTTTATTTGATGCTAGGTGGATACCCTCGGAAGATGTTGTAAGCTTGTTCACAAACCAATTTCTCTCTAACCATGAAGACAAGACAAGATTATTATGAGATGTCACAGACCAGCTACACTATGGACAAAATGGGAATTAAGGAATTCTACTATCTCTGAAGAAAATCTTGAACTATGAAAAGTCTAACTGATTTGATCACAACGAAAGTAGTAAATGGCTACAAGCGTTTGAGAAATTTAGATTGTTTAGTGTGAATGAGATTATGAGAAGACGGCAAGCAGCCAGGCAGCAAGTGTCTTTTTCATCTATCTGAAGTGACATTGTCTAACAAAAATAGAAGCTAATGGTGAGAATTGTTACCATCTAGAGGTTTGGTGCAGACCAATTCCTCCTAGGGTTGGTAGTTTTTGTTGGGAAGCCTATCTGGAAAGATTCAATACTGGTGATTTGCTTCAAAAGAAGAGACCCAATACATGCTTATCACCTCATTGGTGTGTTCTATGCAAAGCGGATGGGGAGACTGGTTTTCACTTACT